GTATTCAGAAGAAAAAAAAAGCAACAAGTAAAACCACATGAACAGCACGCTGCCCTTAAAAATCTCCCAAGAAGTTAAACGCTTATATCAACATAAACCACTTCTAGAAGGCTACTCAAGAGACTGGGACCAAGAATGCCTCTGGGGAGATAACCTGGTGGCTACTGGACAGGGTGGGAGTTTTACTTTGCACAGTAGAAATTCTGTATCATGTTTACATACTACCTATTCAAGCAATAACTTCAAAATGCACATAATGTTCCCTGACATTACACTGAAACCACATTATAATGCTATTTCACTGCACAGGGAAATTTAATCTGTGGCACATCAAATGTGGATCTCAGCCATTGGGATCTGGTTACTGAAATGCCAGAAGGGCACCCTTCTAAAGTGGCTCCTTACAGGTTCCTGTCTGGAAGGTATCCTGTGACCTGCCCAGGGGCCTAAAAGTATCCCTCAGCAAGAACTGTGGTTTCCAAAGCACTTCTGCAAACTACCATATAATCACTGGGTAGACACAATAAGGAGGTAGGCATTTCCTGCCTTGAGAAAAATAAACATTTAGTAAAAGAAAGATATGTATAGGAATAATTACAGGGCTGGGCTGGCACAAGCCTGTAATCCCACCTACTCAGGAGGCTGAAGCAGGAGGATTCAAGTTCAAGGACAGCCTAAACAACTTAGCAAGACCATGTCTAAAAATAAAAAAGACAGGCAGTGTAGTTCAGTGGTAAAGTGCTCCTAGGTTCTCTCCCAAGCGCTGCAAAAGCTTTTTTTTAATTATGAGGCCACTTCATCTGGAATGAGGCTCTTTTTTTTTTTTTTTTTTAAGAGAGAGAGAGAGAAATATTTATTTTTTAGTTTTCGGCAGACACAACATCTTTGTTTGTATGTGGTGCTGAGGATCGAACCCAGGCCGCACGCATGCCAGGTGTGCGCACTACCGCCTGAGCCACATCCCCAGCCCCACCTACTATAATTCTTTATAGGTTCCTCTCCTCACTGGATGAGTACTACCTGTTCTTTTTTTACGAGTTTTTGTAGCCCCTGCTTCAAGCAGAGACAGCCCATTGAAAGGTTTAAATGAATCAATCCTCCATAACTATAGTTGTGACAACTTAATAAGGAGAATTATAGACTCCAAAGCAGGGAAAATAGTACACCAAGTAAAAATATAAATGTCTTAGAAATATGAAAGCATTTCACAGGACAAATGTTTCCATGATTGGCTAAAGGGTGACTTAGGACTCCAAAATACATGCAATTCATTTTTGGGTGCTTTAGAATTTTAAGTGTTTTAGACAATCTGGCTTTCCCAAAAATATTTTGCATTTCTTGAACATACTACTGTCATTGAGAACTCTTTTGCAGCTTTCCCAAATGCATTACTTCACCTCAGACCTTTAGCCTTTGGCAGTGCTATTCCTGCCACCCACAATTCCTATAGCTCACTTACCCCTACCACACACTACACACACCTTCCCTATCAGCTTTAACTTGCCCTTCAAAATACACTTTAAATTCAAATCTACATTTAAAGATAACTTGTGAGTGTAGTATTATAATTAAGAATTTATTATTCACTCATGAAAGACCATACTGTGCCAATACAAAAATCACATCTCTCAATGCGTGATCTCTCTCTAAAGTCAGAGATTTCTTACATGTCTTTGAAACTTTCCTTGCCCTTACCAACTCTCTTTCCCCAAACATAGCTCTAATCCTTGCCAGTATTTTGCACTCAGTAAATAATTGTTCAAAGAATCAAAGCGCCTTTTTGTAAAATCATACCAAGATTTCAGCTACAACAGCTCTTTCTTTGCCTTTCCTTCTCTCCCTCCCTCCCTCCCCCCTTCCTCCCTCGGTACTGAGGACTGAACAGGGGCACTTAACTACGAAGCCACATCCCTACTCCTTTTTTATATTTTATTCAGAGACAGGGTCTCACTGAGTTGCTTAGGGCCTTGCTAAGTTGCTAAGGCTGGTTTTGAACTTGTGATCCTCCTGCCTCAGCCTCCTTGAGCTGCTGGGATTACAGACATGTGCCACTGCACCGGCCTAGCACCCTATTTTTTAACCCACAATATCTACAGTAAAGTTAATATTGTCTAAAAGATTTTGTGTTAACAATGTGGCCTTTATCAGTTTCTACCTATCTCAGTCAGGCTAACTTCTATACCTTTGTAACACTGTTGCCCTTCCTTTATGCTTCCTAAGCCCCTGTGCTTATATTTCAAGTAAGCATGTTTCCTACACATTGCTGCCTGAGCAGGTACAATACTTTACACAAAATGGTTGCTCAATATAATTCTGCTAATGAACTATGGACATTTTTAACAGTCCTTACTGTTGTTCTAATAGAATTATCTTAAAAGTCATGGTTTTTAGAAACCACAAAATTGATTTAAATCTAAAAAAATATCTATTATTGTATTTCAGTTAGACAAGCAATAGGTTTCAGAACAACTACTGAAATTTTCCCTGACTTGGGGAAGACTATCAGTATTCAATTTTATGAGCCCCCCACCTCTACGTATTTCATAGAAATCCAGTGTTACACTGAACACAGAATGGCTCAATCAGTGGGTTTTCTTGGCTCTAGCTACATTATGACTAAATATGGGAAACCTAAGTTTAAATGGCCTTCAAGGCTCTACTGTCACCTCAAATTAAACTGGATCCTTTCCACTCACAAAGTCACATACCCAAGTGGGTCAAGTTCTGTGAGGGTCTGTCCTTTCCATTTCTGCAATCACCACTGAAGTACTGGCCCTTATAGATCACATGGTAGCCCAACAGTCTGACTAAACTTTTCTTCTTTTCCTCTCTTTAATCCACCAATCACACTGTTACCAATGTAATCTCCACTTAAAGTCAGTGGTTCAAAATGTTGGATAATTTTGTCACTCCCTTCTCTCCTTGAACACCTGACAGCTTCTGGAGACATTTTTGGTTATTAAAACAATAGGAGTGCTACTGGAATCCAATGGGGGTGGGTGATTGTCATGCAACCAAGCATCCTACAAAGCAGGATAGCACAGCACTTACCACAAGAATTATCCGGCCATAGATCACCAAGTTTTTAAAATTCTCCGAGTATCAGTTTCCTTATCTGTACAAGAGGGTTAAGAAACTACCTTAAAGGGTAGTCAGAAAGACTGTGTCACTGTATACAGAATGCTGAGCACATCTACACAATGGGAGTTTTCACACTTAAAACAAGGTACAATTCTGTGTATCTTGTCTTAGGGTAGAATGAAGGCTGATGATAGGAACAGAAGTCCTAAAAAGAGAACTTCAAATGAACAATAAAGAGGTATTTTTCTGGACCTGAATACATTATATGCTAATAATATTAACAAATAGGGTGCTGAACCATGGTTAGAACAAGTGTTATTCACTGGGAAGGATATCAATGTCATCATCAAAAAATTAGAGGAGATTTAGAATGATGAGCATCCCATTTAAAATAAGTCTTCATTAATATGTGATTACATACAAAAGTGTGTACACCAGCATTGGGGAATCATGGCACACTAACTATGGATAGTATGTATCTGCAATGTTATGTCAAATCTGGCAGGACCTTTCATAAGTCTATGAAACACAGCTTGGGCACAAGGACAAACAGGTAGAAATGTAATCACTAGAGTAACAGCACCAAAGGTGGTGCCTAACCTCATGTCACCACATAGACTTCTGTGCTCATTCTCCTTTCTTTCTGTGGCTAACCCTTCCAAAAGTATTCAGGACAAAGCCTTCTTGCCTTATCACAGACCCAACATCTTCAGTCACTTCTCCATTCTGGGGTCCTAGAGGATCACTACCATCCGACTTCAAATACCCCTTACCATCTCCTATACCACTGTACCTTGCTCCTACAGTTTCTGCCAATTTCTCTGCCTCCCCCCAATCTGTAGCCAAGCTTCTTGAAAGTCTCCACTTCCTCACCTCTCAACTACCATTCCCAACATTCCACCAAATAGGCCAGACTCACTTTTCTGCCCTCATTTTAGGGTTCAGTTTTGCATTGTATGCAAGAAGCCAAAAAGGAAGGAAAGGAGGAAGGGAGGGAGGGAGGAAGACAGTAGTAGAGGAAAAAGAATGTCTGAAACTTGGTTGTCACAGAAACATTGAAAAAAAAAAAAAAAAGGAGTTCAGAATTAGTTAATCTTGTGATGCCTAAAGCTAATACGATCTCAGCACAACAGAAATAGGTTTACTCTCTGGGTCCTGGCTATCTCTTACCCAGAAAGAACTCAGTTCCAAGGACAGTATTTGGAAAGTAAGATTCAAACTACCGTAACTGCCTGAAGATGCAACCTGTTGCCCTGGGGAAGTGTAAGACGAGTACCCTAGCAAAGAGCAAGGTCTTTTCTCCAATTGAGTAACTTCTAAAATTTCTTCCAAACAAGACTGAACAAATGATTGCTAAATCATATATTTAGCAAATGAGAAAACATACAGAACTTAAAGCCCAGGTTCTCTGACTCGAGTCCAAAATTTTCGGACAAAGTTTAGAATACTGACATGTTTCATGAAAGTGAACACACCAGAATGAAAAGATACCAGAGTGAACGGACGTAGCACGACCCTGGATTGCACTGGTTAGAGCTTCAACTCCTCCTTACCCGCCCGATTTGGGGAAACAGTGAACGGAAATGGGACTTCCCACTTGGTAGAACCACAACCTTCCTCCAGTAGATTTTCATTCCTTTACTGCTCCCCCTTCTGAGGGCACCTCCCTCCACATCAACCACCAAACGAAAAGATCTAATCTCATGTGTCGACTTGCCTCCTTCTCAGCAGCACCCGGAGAACCAGAGGGGGCAAATCCAGGGCTCCCCTAATACCTCCCAATACCCAGAGACTATCAGAGTCGCGCCCAGGGCCACTTCTTGGCCAGAGAGAAAGGATCCGCCGCAAGAACCCAGAAAGCCGCCGACCGTGACTACCGTACAGAGACCTCCTCCACCTCTCACGCCCACATGGCTCACCAGCGTGGGACATGGACGCTGTGAGGTTCCCGTAGCGCTCCTCGTTGTACACCACCACCGCCGAGGCGTTCCTCCGCGCCGCCGCCAGCGCCTTGTCCTTGAAGGTGCAGCCCCCTCGCGCCACCAGGGCGACCCAAGGCGCCGGCCCCTGGCCGCCAGGCGTGGGCACCAAGAAGCGCGTGCCTGGCGCGCAGCCCTCGGGGTCTCCTCCCGGCGCGAGCGGGACGCCCACTAGGCCCTGCGCGTCCTCCTTGGGCGAGTTATCACCGAAGCGGCCGCTCTCCGAGAGGCTCCGCACCGTCAGGTTCGTCTGCGGGTCCACGTACTCGATGCCCACCACAGCCGAGTACCACTCGAGCGCTCGGCTCTGGGACCCGGGCGCGTACAAGGCCAAAGCCAGCAGCGCCAGCGCGCCGCGGGCTCGGATCCCGGCCGTAGCCCGCCGCTGCCACGCCATGGCCTTACCGCTGGGCTGCGGAGGAGCAAGCGGGCGCAGAGCGTGAGGGCTCGCGCGAAGCCGCCAAGCAGCCAAGAGAAACTGCCGCCAGCCGCCGATCCGATGGGGAGTGAAGCAAAGGAGGAGGAGCCGCGGCGCACGCGCACCTGGAGGGGCGTGGGAGCGCGGGGGCGGGGCAACGTTGTCCCGCCTCTTCTCTCTCGGGTGGAGTGCGCAGGCGCGAGACGCTCTCCGAGACTGGGTTGAGTAGGTGAGCGGCTGAGCTACATCCGGGGGCCAGCTGAAGCTAGTGAGGGTGTGGCCACCCACGCCTCTGCTTGAGCCACGCCTGACCCTCTGGGGCAGAAGCAGAACTTATGCCATAGTACGCCGAGCGACCCCGAGTCTGGGAACCGTCCGAGTAACGGGGTGCAGAACGGCCGGCGAAGGACCGCGGTTGTGTGAAATCTCGGCTGAGATTTCTGAGATGTCTGAGTTGACCGCGCAAGGCATAGGGCAAAGACTTGCCTGGTCTAAGCCACTTAAAAATACGTTTTGAAAAGCAGCCATAGTCGTGCGTGTATTATCCACATGTTATCTGAGCCCCTCTTGGTAGTAATTTGGTAGTGAGTTTTAATTCCTTACGCTTCTCTCAAGGGTTGTTCCCAACAACCCTTTGTGTTATAGCGGTGTCCTCACCAGGACCGAGGGTCCCCAGGAGGTCCCGAAGGAGAGGGAAGGGTCAGCCACATGAGCTGTGAGAATTCTTGACACGCAAAAGGATATTAAGGACGCGTCAGTGTGGAACACAGGATGATTTTATTAAAAGAAAGCAAGAAGTACGCACGCTGAGAGAAAACAGAGTGCAGGGGTTAAAGTGGACCAGGCTGGCTTTACCCTAACATGGAATGCAAAACATATACATTATGTGTACACAATATATATGTAATATATAATTTACATATGTATGTATTATACATATGTATATAAATAATAAAATCTAGTTCACAGGCATGATGTAAGAAGGTATTTTTAGTTCTTTGTTTTTTGTGTTAATCACTTGATGTGTTCATCATTACCTGTTAGGGGTTTGTTGGGGGGGTTATTTGGGGTTTTTTATTGTTTGTTTTTCGGTTTTGTGTGTGAGTGTGAGAAAATCTCAACTTCGCTCTGTGGTGTTTCAGGGTTTTTGCTTTGTAAGTTTAAACAGTACTATACTATATTTATGTATAATTGAGGGTTACTGTGAATTTTATCAGGAGTATGGTACATGTGTGGAGTAATCAGATCCTAAAAATATAAATTAGAGAAAAAAATCTTTCTTTGAGCAACGAATTTGGGGTCTATTTTTGTTTATGCAAAAGTCAGGAGCGAGGTTACTTAGGAACCTGTGGATAAGTTCTGATAATTGACTTAATAGTGTTGTATGTGAACAAAGTTATGTACAAGTGGAATTTAAAACAGGAATTTAAATATGGCCACTCTTATTTTATCCCATGTCTTTTTTCTGTCTAATATTATGTCTTCTATCCTATCTCAGTATTTTATGTATAATGTGTAAACTGCCATTTAAATGAGCACCTAGGTTATATTTAATCAATTCATAGAAAAATGGGTAAAGAATTTGTTTGGAAATGAATACAGGTGATTCGGTGTCCATATAAAACTGCAGTAGATACAAAGTCTACTTGCTATGTAGCATTGAATGATTCCAAACACAATTTCCCCCATGAACAAAACAGATTTTGGTATAATAAGAACTTGTAGTGTGGGGCTGGGGGTGTAGTTCAGTTGTAAAGTACTTGAGGTCATAGGTTTGATCCCCAGAATCACCAAAAAAAAAAAGAGTATATGTCTGTTTCCTCCTCTCTTGGAGAATATGAAGACTCTCCATATTTGAGAACTTGGGAGTAAATTCCCCCTCACCTTGAGAATGTATCATCATACCTAATCAGGCCCCATATATGAACTACTAGACATCAAAACACCTACAAGCCTAAAACTTTGACAGAGATACTTTGAGAGTCATGGCACCTCACACTGTTAGCTGCTTCTCTGAAGACCCACAATCATAGGCTATGCAGACCTTTAACTAAGCTCCCAAGCCAGACCTGCCCATACTGGCATTACCTTCTAGCTTGATCTGTGCTTCTAGCTTATCACAGATCTGTGCTGTAATGGTCAAACCAGTTTCTCCTGAGAACCACTTGTATAAAGGTACACTTCAACCTTTAATTAGATTTACTTTCCTCAGAGGCCTGTTTTCATCCTAATTGAGCAACTAGGCTAATAATTATGGAACTCACCCACTATATGGTTAATATACCCGGCACTATCAAATATCTTTCCTGGGAGATTTCTTCACATTATTCTCCTTCTCTTTCAGCATTGTGAACCTAAGGAAGAAATTCTCTTTGTAAGGCAATAAATCATGTGATTTGTGAATTCACACTTGGCTTAGCTCCTTATTTTCACCATACAAAACACTACTGTTGTAGGAACTTCTGACTGACTCATCTTCCTTCTTTGTACAAAGATCTATAATTACAGGAACTAGGTTGTTGGTACCCACACCACATTGTTAAACCCCCTTGTCTTTCCTCTTTGTCTTTCTACATGTGCTCTGAGATGCAGTCTGGCCCACAATCCATGAGTTATTCTTGAAATTGGATCACCTCTCTGATCAGGAAACTAATTGTGGAAGATTGATAGAATCCCAAGCTTAAGGCCTTACCTTTGTCCAGATCTAGAGTAAGAAGGGAAAATATGGTGATCTATGCAGGCTGGGAACAAGTCTCAGAACCTGCCCCCCAACTTTATGCTCCTGCAAAACAAAAAATACTTGTAGTTCCCAGAACACATTATTGTGGTTTCGTGTTATGTCTTGCAAATTCATTTCTTTCTTCCTGAAATAATCTGCTCCTGGCCCTTTTCCTGGCAAATACCAACTTGGTCTTCAAGTTTAAAACTCCAAAGTTGTTTCTTCTGTAAAATCTACATTAGTTAACTCTAGGCAAACTTAGGTGTTCCTCCTGTTTTCCACATTGCTTGTGTATAATTGCTTATACATAAATGTTGTACTGGAAATACTGTTTCCCAGGCCTGTTTTTTTTTTTTTCTTCTCAGAGTACTGTCAACGTATTTTTATTGGTGCATTATAACTACCAAGCCAGGTTTTTTATTTCTTATAATACTATGCATGTGTTGTGTGTGTAATCAATGTTTGTTAAATGAGAAAAATGACTCTTTTGTACTATTCCAGGTTTATAGACTCAACAGGCTAAGAGAAACAGGCTTTGGAGCTATTGAACCCTTGGGCCCAGCCCAGCCTCTCGGTTTTTATTCTTTCATTACCAGCTGTAAGCCTCAACTGATTTTCCCTGATTCAAAACTGCTACTCCTATCTCAAACCTTCATGACCTCTTTTTGTGCACTGGCTGCCAAGTGTCACTCAGACTCTTCAATTCCCTTTGTGTAGTGCCCCAGAAGAGCTCACAGGCCTTACCCCCAAGTCTTTTTGTTTGTTTGTTTGTTTATTTCTTTGTTTTAGGGACTCAATCATGAGACCATAATCCTGGAATAGTACAAAAGAGTCATTTTTCTCATTTAACAAACACTGATTACACACACACAACAGGAGAGAGGTGTCTTTACCCTCTAATCATTTTATTAAGAAACATTTCACACATTTCCCAAAGGAGAGAGACTCCCAAAACTGCATGCACTCATTCAGTAATGATCAAGTCATGGCTAATCTGAGTTTAAATTTATCAACAGTTACTTCCTCTCTTCCCTGTTGGATTACTTAGAAGCAAATTCCAGAAACTGAACCAGGCTCAGTGGTACACTCTTGAATCCTAGTTACTTGAGAGACTGAGGCAGGTGGACTGCTTGAGCCCAGGAGTTTGAGGCTGCTTGGGTAACAGGATACCTATCTCAAAAATAAGTAAATAAGGCAGTATGGAGATTTCTTGGAAAATTGGGAATGGAACCACCATTTGACCCAGCTGTCCCTCTCCTGGGTCTATACCCAAAGGACTTAAAAACAGCAAACTACAGGGACACAGCCACATCAATGTTTATAGCAGCACAACTCACAATAGCTAGACTGTGAAACCAACCTGGATGCCCTTCAATAGATGAATGGATAAAAAAATGTGGCATATATACACAATGGAATATTACTCAGTAATAAAAGACAATAACATCATGACATTTGGAGGTAAATGAATAGAGTAAGAGAAGATAATGCTAAGTGAAGTTAGCCAATCCCAAAAAAAATCAAATGCTGAATGTTTCTTTGATATAAGGAGGCTGATTCATAGTGGGATAGGGAGCAGGAGCATGGGAGAAATAGATGAATTCTAGATAGGGCACAGGGGTTGGTGGGGAAGGGAGGGGGCATGGGGTAATTAATGATGGTAGAATGTGATGATCTTTATTATCCAAAGTACAAGTATAAAGACACGAGTTGGTGTGAATATACTACATATACAACCAGAGATATGAAAAATTGTGCTCTATATGTGTAATAAGAATTATAATGCATTCTGCTGTCATATATAAGTAAAAAAAATTACATAAAAATAAATAAGTAAATAAATAAAAATTAGCTCAGTTTTTAAATATACTTAAATATCCAGTCAGTGCGTAAAATAGCCCTGATTTTTTTCCCAAATGTTATTTTACATTTGTTTGGATTAAGATTCACACATTACATTTGGTTGAAATGATTCTCAAATTCTTCATTCATAGTCCCCCTCCCCTCCCCCCCCCATCTTTGGAGTACTAGGGATTGAACCCAGGAGTAATTAACCACTGAATCCACAACCCCAGCCCTTTGATTGATTGATTGATTGATTGATTTTGAGATAAGTTCTCACTAAGTTGCTTAGGACCTCACTAAGTTGCTGAGGCTGGTTTCAAATTCACAGTCTTCCTGCCTCATCCTTCCGAGTCTCTGGGATTACAAGCATGAGCCACCTTTTCTATTCCCTTTGGAAGAAATTTGATGATTTGTCTTCTACAATTTCCACATTCTGTATTTAGCTGATTAAAACCTCATGGTATCATTTGGTATTTTCTATTCCCCATATTTCCTGTGAATTGGTAGTTAGATCAAGAGATCTGATTTGATCTGGATCTGATTTAGGAATAAGGATATATTTCATAGGTTGTGCTGTGTACTTCTATCTGGAAGCATATCATATTGTGGTGCTTTTCTTCTTTGAAAAGTTTGTTGCCATTAATAGTTTTTAACTAAATCTATTATTTTATTATAGGTTTGC